AAGAGAGCGCGGGGTTCCGACGGCGAAATGCCGATGTGTGTGGACGGCCTGACAACAATAGAGCAAGTTTCCTTCGCTGGGAAAACAAACTAGAATGGTTAAAGTTTGCTTTGCCATCTTGATACAAGTTTTTGTGTGGTCTTGGGTTGGCATTTCGAGGATTAAGCATTAGAATTAGCCCACACCTTCAGTGTGACTTGCACACTGAGTTGGTATGCTAAATATATCAAGCAAGCAAGGGGGATCTGATGCGTGAGAACAGAAACCCTCCGAAATGGCGTTGGCACTTTTTGCAAATCATGCCCATTGTTGCTGCCAATCAAACCAGTTCATTGATGTTCCAAAATCAAAATTGCCTTCTAGCGCAGCGTCAACAGCTCCTAAATCAAATTTCGGGTCGAAGTGTCCAAACAAATCTAGATCAGGGACGGCATCAAACAGCGTCCACTCGCTAGTAGTTGCTTCCGTAACGTCGTATGCAAAGTCCAGGACCCGGGTTTCCTCCGGCTGTGCCTGAGAGCGCTCACCCTGTGGTGCTGGCTCAACTCTCTTCGAGAGATCTGTCAGCCCATTCTCTTGAGCGAGCGATGCGACCGCCTTGTCCATCTCATTGAGAACCTGCTCTGCCATGGCTACCATAGTTTTCGACTTCCAAAACATGTCATCCATCGACTTCAATAGGAGTATATTCTTTCGAAAAGCCTGTTTACCGCGGTTCCTAAACATGGGGACTTTGCTGTGCCGCATTTTCCTATACGACACGCTAAGAGACAGGGACACCGCGTACGGTATAAATGGCATATACGAAAGCTGTCCGGCAAACTCCTCGCTAATTATTGACGTGATCCGATCCGCTGCCAGAGATCTTCGACTGTTCGTCGCGGGGTTGGGCAGGGTAGATGACGCTAAGTCAGCTGGCGACTGGGCCGATAAGATGCCAACTGAGTGATAAAATACCTCCAGTGAAGCTTGATACATATTAGCATCTCGTCCTCTATTTACCGCATGGCGCCCGACTTACCGAGACAAGAACTCGTCATTCTTAATGCCTCCGCATCCAGGACCATCTGCTCGAATATAGGTAACTCGATGAGAACAGGTTTGCTCGGCCGGGTTCCGGGACGGTATAAACCAATTACTTGATCAAGAAGATTAATGATCATTAAGAGAAGGCGGAAAGGGGGTGCCTGTGCACGGATGCAATCATCTATATCCCAGCCAACGTCTCGTTCGTGTAATAAACAAGCACGGCCATAGAATGCGCTTGTGATGCGATCAAGCGCCCATAAGCAGCAGAAAATCGTCCTGATCATGTCTTTCTTCGGATGCCCATCGTCTACCGCCATTTGAAGTCCAAGCGTATGCATTTGATGAATAGCGCGACTATTTAATAGGGCCGGGATGTCGGCTTCTTCAGCATTAGTGGGTTGTGTGTATAACGACAAAGCAGCTGACAAGCGGGTGAGCCAAACTCGATCTGTTATAACTCCCGCTTCCAGTGTTGTCAGAACGGAATTGGAAAGGGAGGCGCAGAAATCCTGGCGGGAGAGGAGGGGTCCGTTCGGACTCGTCCGAAGGTGCTGGCCAGCTTCTGGGTCGCTGGCGGCTGCAAGGCTAATGACTTGCTGAACTAGGATGTCCGTTGGTTCATCCGGTTTGCTGGATACTGATGGATCTTCAAAGATGGGAAACAGAGGGTTCATCTTCTCAAAGTATATACGTCTCAATACCGCATAATCGGATGCCGGAGCGCGGCACGGTAGACAGTGATTCCACAGATACGACCGCAACATATCTTGAACCGCCTGTCTCGAGGACGACTGTACACTTGGAACGCTCAAACTCTGTATGCTTGTGCGAGGGACAATAGGGGCCTGCCAAATGCCAAGACCGCCGGGCGCTGAGACGTCACGTTTAGAGCATAGACTGGTAGCCTCCATCAAAATGGCCTCTGGGTTTAAATCACCGTAATACGTTGAAGGATGGGCCTCTCCGCGCTTCTCTTGCGCCCCATTCTGAACGGCGGGAGAAGGTAGAGCTGTGTCGCCAGTGGAAAGGCTCGGAGTTGACACATGCGTTTTACTGCTCCGATTGCCGGGTGAAGGCTGCGAGAGTTGCGACCGCTCCGCCGCCGATGGATTGTCGGGCGACCGAGCGGAGGAGGACGGATCGCCGTGCACCTTTGGATCTGTGTGAATGCATCGCTTTTTCCGGCGACGGCACTTCTCGCAGGCATGTGCGACTTGTTTTCGTTTGAGCGGCAAGCCGGTCGTGTCTGATTCCACGAATTTAACCATGGCTTGACAACGGCAGAATTATATCCTGAGCTTTGACTGTGATGGAGCGGTAGTCACCTAATTCGTCATCTCCGCCCGTCTCTCCGATTCCAGGTGAAACGGATTGGGCAGGTATTCATTGTAAATACAGAGGGATCAAGAACACACGCTGCTGCGGAATACCAGACACAAAAGCTCCATCCAACTTTATCTAGTCCGTTCTTTGTTCGACAACAACTCCGACACGGCGGGGTTTCCGAAAGAGGCTAGCCCGCTCACTCGCGCTCCCTCCTCATAGAGTATGAAAGTGTGATGGCGTAGCAGATTATCAGGTTTGAAAGCTTATTCGTAGCATGGCTCCGACAATAGCCCGCTAGTGATGTCCCTTTTATACTTCTCCCTAGGACAAGGCACATTTGCTATGCTAATAGCCGCCCGATGTATTCCGTCAGTAGTCGTACAGGTAAGATCATGTCGGCGGTCATCATTCCGACACAGACATATCGCCCTCCATTACAGAGGCTATTCCGACACATTTTTGTGTGTATATATATCTATATAATCTTCCTAGATAGATAAATAAAAATCACAGAGGACTCAATGAGACTACCTTCACGCGTGAAACGTGTTCTCTAAAGGCCTTCATTCAACACCATCTTGTCTGTGCCGCATAAACTAACGACACTAAAGTTACCCCAGAGTCTTAAACGAATTAGCGGCGATTATTCAGTGCTCTTTTTACACTAAGGCTGTCTGTGAGTTCTACTTTTACTCAATACGGTAATACAGAGTACGCGGCACGGCACGAGGTTCGGTAATCTACGTGGCCACTGCTGGTCTGTTTGACAGACTTAAGAGCTAACTGTCTATAAATGAAGTGGTTACACCCACCGAGACTGAGTTTGATACGACACATCAACGCAATGGCTTCCAATAAGCACCAGCCGAAAAGAGAAGGCAATATTGCCGATTCCTTTGCTTCGTTGTCCGGTGGCTATGTACCGCTACCAGAACGCTTCCTCGATCTGAAGAGGTCGTTGGTGGCCGGCCATGAAGACCAGGTCATTGCAAGCTGGAAGAGACTTCTTACTCAGCTTAAACAGGAAAACAGAATCCTCGCAAAAGAAGGGTCTGGGGTCATACCAAGCATAGAATTCGCGAATCTTGAGGAAGACCTTACGAGACTACGCTCGGAAATCAAGAAGAAGGGCGTTGTTGTCGTCAGGGGTGTGATACCCGAGAATGAAGCCCGCTCATACAAGACCGATCTTGAGGAATACGTCAGACAGAATCCCTCAACGAAAGGTAATCTCAACACCAACATTCTTTCCAGTCAATTCTAACCGCGGGAGTAGCATTCCCACAGGACGACCCTCAAGTATTCGAGCTGTACTGGTCAAGCCCCCAGATTCGTGCACGGGCACACCCAAATCTCTTGGAAGTGCAATCAAAATTCATGAATATTTGGCATCTGTCGGAGCCTGAGAGCTCAATCTCGCTATCGCAGACTCTTTCCTATGCAGACCGTCTACGGATCAGACAACCTGGCGATGCGAAATTCGCCTTGGGTCCCCACATTGATGGAGGTAGCGTCGAACGGTGGGAGAAGCACGGCTATGGGCTCGGAGGCGTTTATAACAAGGTCTTCGAGGGGTCGTGGGAGGATTACGATCCATGGGATGCCAGCCCCAGAGTCGACGCCATTATGGATAACTACAACGGACTCGGAGCATGCTCGATGTTTCGCATGTTCCAGGGATGGCTGAGCATGAGCCACACCAAAGGTTTTGAGGGCACCCTGCTGGTAAATCCGCTGCTCCAACTGTCATCCGCGTATTTACTGCTCCGCCCATTCTTCAAACCTGTAAAGGAGTCAAAAGACGTGTCCACCGAAGAGTACCTAGCGGCAGACAACTGGGTGTTCGCTGGCTCTGAGATGACGAGCCAGCTACATGGAGCAACACCGGGCAAGGGACAGGAACTAAATAATGACCTCCACCCACACCTTGAGCTTGACACAAGTATGGTGCACGTACCTGAAGTCAGGCCAGGCGATTTTGTCTTGTGGCATTGTGATAGTGAGTTCTTAGCTTTTGTCTCTCTTGAAGCTGCAAAACTGACATAGTATCTAACCAGCTATTCATGGCGTCGACAAGATCCACAAAGGGCAGTCGGACTCAAGTGTGCTTTACATCCCGGTATGCCCTATCACCGAACAAAACGCCGAATACCTTGCACGTCAAAGAGAAGCCTTTTTGGCTGGTTATCCCGCTCCGGATCAACCCGGCGGACAAGGCGAGGCACAACATATGAATAGGCCGACAGAGTCTTATCTTCGGACGCATGCCGACTCGAATGGTTTACGGGCTTTTGGATTTGAGAAGATTGCTACGGCAGAATCAGACGGTCCTGGGGCCAGAGAAGTTATAAGAAAAGCAAACGAGATACTAGGGTTTTAGTTACACGCAATTTTCTCGCTCTCGTTTGTAATTGGGAGGGTGATGTGGATATGAGGCGCCTATTTCATCCATATCCAATCCACTATACGCGCCTGGGAGTTAAAGAAACAATGGAAAGCTCCCTCTGACTGAAGCCGTTCTTTCTGCCGTGAAATACTCTATATGATAAAATTATGGCCAGTGGTTTCATTCTTGGGACCCGCACTCTTGCTTATAACAGTTGTTAGTTGCATATCTGATATTTCTTAATAAAAAAAAATCAAATCTCTCGATCGGGGAATCGAACCCCGGCCACCTGCGAATTGTTTCTAATCATAGAATGACAAGCAGGTATCCTGACCACTAGACCAATCGAGATTAACGAGTGTCCGTTTGGTAGTGGGTATGACTAAGCCTACCAAATCTAGTTTATTATCACCACTTCAGAAAGATCTAAAGAAACTTGTAATCCTCAGCAGCCAGCTATGCATGTCATGATCTTATTTGCTTGTGTTCGTTAGTTACTTGCTATTTTCGTGGAAATCCCTTAGCTGCTTGATAGAATTGAAGCATACACATGAACCCGGATCCCACCTCTTACCTAGGTATGTTCATTTGGTACCACGTTCTTAGCAATGCAAAGAAATATATATCTATTGATGCTCGGGTGCATTCCTCAAGGATCATAATAATATGAATCATACAGCATTCTTAGAGGCAAAATAGCAACATACCTTGGTAAAATTAGGCTTTTGTGTGCAATTAATTGTCCTACGAAGTGGTCTAATACAATGTGTAGATTACAACTTAGGAAAACTATAGTGACTACTGCGCAGGTCTGAATCCTACTATCGTAGCTTTTCATTACTCGTTCGTGACCTTAATGATTTATTGTTCAGTTATGAATCAAACTGGAGATTAGTAACCTCTTGCAACACGTGCGACCGAGCCTTTGCGAGCGACAATGTCTCGGGCAATGGTATCTTGGTATTTAACAATATCTCATATACTTAGGAAGCTCAAGTGATAAAAGGGCGCTTACGCTGCTAAAAGGCTTTTGTGATACATTCATCATCTAGTCACGGGGTGCCAGACCATGTGATAGACGACAGTCTACGCGTTGAAACGCAATGTTGAACAAGTTCATTAATTTGGCCTCAGCCACAAGTAACATGGGGGAAGAAAGGTGTGAGATATTCAATCTCATTAGGCGATGAGAGGAAAAGCTAAAACACTCCCCGCTCGGTGTGTCGCTCGGTGTGTCGCACGGTGCCTCCCAACAATACAAGGTGAGACAACAACGTGATGGTAAATGCGCCATACTTACGACTCCTGATGTTTTGTGTATATGGCCCATCGAGATCCCTTCCTACCATTGTTGTGATGCCTACACACCTAGTACTTTAAAAAATCAGGCTTATCCTGATTGCACGCGGGTAGCCAATCAATCAGCCGGACAGGCTAAGGCGACGCGGCACGGATTATATATACATGGAATTTGAAAACGACGTACACGGAAAAGGCAAGTCTAATGCCCAGGGGGATTTGTTGAATGAGGCGGATGGTTTATTTGCTGTGCCTTTTCGTTTCCATTAAAGCACACGTCTACCTACCTGGCAGCCAGCATGCCATACAACCCTGACCCCCACCATCAACAACATATTGCATGCCAGATCACATCACAGCAGATCAGGCACCAGCTGCCTAATACTTGTCGGATATAAGCAGTGCTACCAGCACTATGCATTCTAACTGGGCATTATCATGAGAATTATTGTCCTCGTGCATTGAAGATGCACATGAAGCGATATCGTCTCGAGACATCCGATTCTTAGATGAATGGAACGAATCATCTATGATTCGCTGCCATGAGTCCACTCCAAGAAGGGTTCCCCTTGGTTGGTCTTCATGTACTTTATGAGCCAGAAAAGGGCGACAATATGCTTCTTGAGTAGGTCGTTTCTTGTTATTCCGCTGTCTTATTGGAGACGTATAAGCTTATGATCACCTTTCAGCGTTGTCTTCACCCATGGCTTAGGAGGAGGATATCCGATACAAAGTTGGCAGTACGATGAAAGTATAGCATCTACTACTCGAGCAAGAACAGAGCCGCTTGCGCGTGACGAATCTTGGAAGCTGCTTCTCAGGAGAACGAAATCTGCAGATAAGAAGCGTCGATCGACTACCGTTCCGCAGAATAACACGCGACAGTCTGAGTTGAATGTCCCCTCTAATGCGTCATCTCGACTCTTCTGGCCGCGTGACCTGTTGCCTTTGGTTTGTCCAGAGGCGCGTGTCGCCACTTGGGGGTATCATACTCTCTACCGTGGCGATGAACCGGCTACTACTCAGCTCGATATCTCTTCTCACGCAAAGAACCTTCTTCAGGAACTTGTGGGTCTTCGGAATACTACCAATATACAACAAAAGCCCTTGGTTTTCGTCGCGCATGCCCTTAGTGGAATAGTTGTCATGGAGGTAGGTTTGTGGACATGGCCTAATCTGCAGAAATACTAATTGTTGCTGTAGATGCTGCGTCAGGCTGAGTCTAGTAATACACAAAACGAACAGGATATCCTGAACTCTACGGCCGCCATCATGTTCTTTGGGGCTGCAGAGGACGAGCCGCTGGCAGACGCTGGGGTGACAATGGCAGAGGCATCTTTCAGCGGCAAAGTGGATAACTCCGTGTTACCTGCTCTGTTGGGCGTAAACAATCCCAAATGGGACGGAGCACAGGATGCGTTTATTCGACTATGGCACCATTTCAACTTTAAGACATATCAAGAGAGACAGGGTGACACAGAAAGGTCAACTGTAGGCCATCCTCTATCTCAAGTAAACGGTCGGAAACAAGCTTACGTATCAGACTAGAACAGCCATACTGAAACAGAAAGCTTGTCTGTTCACCATCGTACAATGTGTCGCTTCCAATCGATGAGTGATGCCAATTTCGAATCACTATCGAAAATTCTCCAGGATATCGTGAGGGACGAGAAATTCAAGGTAGCATTACATGGCCGAATATCTATTGACGCATATACTAATAAGGAATGACAGCATCGAGGGCTCAGCGCTAGAGAAATAAGTACGCAGTGACGACATCCTCTTCCTTACACACAGACTAACTTACAATAGACTGCTTACAGCGACTCAAAAGCAACTGCGTCAGGGGTAGGGGCTCTCGCTTAGCTCTCAAAGAGAGCTCGTTGAATACATGCAGAGGAATATGTAGTACAAAGGAGTTTAGCGATTGGTATCGTCGCCAGGGTGGTAGCAATGAGCAAATACTCTGGCTGACGGGTGAGCTAGGCTCTGGTAAGTCCACCCAGTTACAGCATATCCGCTGCCAAATGGAAAAACAATGGAAGCCTGCTACAACCTCGATTATATACTGCAACGCAGAAGGCCAAAGACTCGACCGAAGGATTTTATCAGAGTCAAAGCTAGGCAATATGCGGTCGATCACGGCAATCCGTTCCTTGGTATCTCAGCTCTTCGTACAGGATCCAAATCTTCGCGAGAGACTTTCTAGTATGTGCGAGGGTGATGTAACCGATTTGGATCTGACCAGATTCTTTCTCGATGATTATATCATGGGAAAGCCCCAGACGATGTCAAGAAGGACGTTCATATTAATCGACACGGAAGATAGTTGCGACGATGAATATATCCGGGAACTCTTGTATTGCCTATGCCTAATGGCCCGGAACTCGAATTTCAGTGTGTGTCTAGCCAGTCGACCAATTAGCGGACCAGTTCCAACCAATATAACTCAGTTACAACTCGAAGATTATAACCTCGAAGATATTGAATGGTTAGTACAATCCCGTCTGAGTGCAAGTTGGGAACAGCGGTCTATTACTGCGAAAATTATAGCCGAAAAGGCTGGATGTAGTTTGTTATGGGCACAACTTGCGACGAACCTCCTTAACGAAGTTATCGAGGGTGGAGGAACGCACGACGTCGTGGACAAGGTACTGGAGGAGCTTCCTACTGATATATATGAGCTATATGAAAGGATATTGGGAAGTCTCTCATCCAAAGAAAAGGCGGATGCTACGGTAATCATGCGATGGGTTATGTTGTCACCGGAGCCCATGATTCTCAACGACCTGCGAATGGCGGTCCGCTTGAGTCGCACGAGTTTTATGCTCTGCTATGATCCTCAAACTGCGCTGGATGTTGGAATACCTTGGTCAATGCAAGAGTTACAGAAGACGGGCAAGCATTTCGATACACCGTCCCAGTTTTACCAGTGGCTTTGCTCCCGGACATGCGGTCTCCTAGAGGCGAGGCCGTCGGATGCGGAGGGTAAAGCGCAGCAGTCGCTAGGACTTCAGCATGTTTATCCGATCAATGACTCCGTCAAGTCCTTCTTCTTGTCCGGGAGAGGGTTCGCTGTTCTATCATTGGGACGAGCGCCAACCATACCGCCCGGTCACAAGATGATCGACCTTTGTCACTACAGCCTTCTCCGTACTATCTTAGTATACCTGAACACGTCTGATCTATCGCCCCTGGTGAGCGGGAATCATTCACCGGAACCTATACAGAGCGCCTCACCACTGAAAATGTCTCCCGCATGGCAGAGGAACGTAAGGGACCAGCGCAATCTCATCCTATCATCGTATCCATTCTTAGGATACGCGGTAGACAACCTGTTGTACCACCTATTATCCCCACGGCCCCTTCGGTATTTTCTCCCTCAGCAGACTGTATTCAATGCATTCGCGTCCAACGACTGCCGCATATGGCGACGATGGACGGCACTTCTCGGCGAGACAGATGCCTCGGCGATTCTCACAAGATGCAAGTCTGCCGAGGCACTGCTGCAGCCCGAGTTTGGGGCGTCGTTCCGACTGGAGAGGGTTTTCCGGGCGGTGAATAAGATGACGACGAGCGACAGTTGGTTCCTGCCTCGTAAAAACCTGGGACTTCTTCCTATCCATACACCCAAGAAATCAGAGGAAGACCAGGTTGCTCGGTCGAAATTTAACTCGGCTTCGAGTCTGCCCTCCTTGTCCTTCCCATCACGCGCGACTCAACGAGGGCCACGATCCAGAGGCACCCTGGTTACCACCAGAAGAAGGTAGACTGTAATTGTAACTGTGTATGATTAGATGAATAAATATGATTTATCGACGTGCATAGTCAATGATCATGTTGAAGATCTTCACCTACTCAGGCCATAAAGCACTGACATTTCGCTAAGCTAGCGTCTTCAGTGTATGCTTATAGCTATCGGAGATTTTTATGGCACTAACTAAATTTACCTACAGGTACGCAGTACGTAACAAGAAATCAATATTCCAGACCATACATCCAATTGAACCCATTTATGTCTTTATATCTTGTACGAAAAGGGTGGGGTTTAG